GGATACACTGGTGCCTTGACTATTAAAGTCTGCTGCTCAAAACAACATACAATGGATTTGTGTGCCCGGGGACTTGCCACCCTGTTACACTTGATGCCTTTGAAAAATGCTGCCCCATGCCTAACTAGAGATTATGGAGCCTATCTCTGAACACCACTTGTTTTAACATTTTTGTCTCAACTATTATTAATTAAAAAAAACCAAACCCCAAACCTAAATATGTACACCATGATTTATATGCATTACTATGAAGACAACCTCAGCAGAGGGCTGAATCACCATTTTAATGCAATTAACTCCAGACTCAAGTTGAGGTACTCCAGCAGTCCAGTCTGAGGCTTCTCCAGAACTCCCAGGCCAGCATCCTTCAGCATGAATAGGTAAGGGGAAAAAAAACCCTAAACAAACATTTAAATTACTCTGCATAGTTTACAAGTCTGTAAAATCACAGCACAACTGCACAGAAACAAGTAGTGATTCCTTTCTCTAAACACTGTTCCCTGAAAATAGCATAAAAATACAAAATCTTATATAAAGTCTGCTAGGAATTCAGGAAAAATAAGGCATAATTATACTTTCCTCCTACTCTGGCCATCTGACTAGAAAAATGTAATGAAGGCAGCTTTCAGCTGCCCAGTTGGGTTTGCTCACACTCAGTACCAATGATCAGCTTTCCAGATACCAACATCTTTTCTATAAACAGGATTTTAAAACAGAACTCTATACTTGACCTGTAGCTTTAAGTGCTCTTCCTTGGGCATCGAGTGGCACCATTGGGTTGTACAGCTAGTCACTAGCTAGGCACAGCTGGGTCAAAAACAGCTCAGCTCCCCAGCAGTGTCTACTGCTGAACTTGAGTAAACTTTTTTCCAAATCAAAAGCATTTAATTTCATACATAAAAGTGCTCAGTCAATTCTAAAAGTGATATTAAGCCTGGTTCTACTTTGTATTGCACCTTTTAGATATTTTCAAAAGGATGGATCTCCACACCCTCTCCCAAAGTGCCATCAAATCATCTGGATACGCTGTGCAAGCCCCGCGTACACACACTGGCACCCAGCACCAGCCAAAAAGAACAGGATTTCATAAAATCTTATTGTAATAGTTGCCAAATTCTTATTGGCCTTTTTCAAAATTGATGCAACAGGAGTTTTCTTCTTGTTTCACTGCAGATATGACTTACCAGGAAAAGACTTGGCAAAAATGATGGATCCTGTCAGAATCTACAAGTGTGAATCATGACGATTAGTACAAATGCTGTTTTTGTAATCGCAATAAAATTTTGAGAGTCTCCATTTTAACAGCTTCGTATTTTATGTTCTAAATTGTATGGGATTTTTTAATATTCCATTTTACCACAGTAAGCTAAAATATTTCAAAATGTAAGTTTTTGTAATGTGCTTTTTATTTTTAAACACCGAAGTAAAGGCATTGGCCCATGCCTTATGGTTTAGAAACTGAAAAATTATTCTATTGGCTTACTACATCTGGCATCACAGCAAGATATTTTGCAAGTTGTTTTTTCTAAAATGTTTAGTGTTTCTTAATTTGTGTGTGTACACTGCAGGTTACACAACTATACACTTTAGCTAACTTGTTTCATATTAAGAAGTCAAAGCAAACATAGATCATCCCTTTCAAACAAAACATGGGAATTTTCTTTTAAAGAAAATCTGAAAGGAAAACCACTGGCATCAGAACCAGTCTGTCTCTTTATCTAACAGTGAGATGGCAAAAGCCTTTCAACTAGTCATACATCCAATACCTGCTATTCTTCCACTTTCGTACTGGAAATTAATATGAAGTATGCTGGACCATAAACATATACTGGGAAACTTTTAGTGTCAAAGACATTTTTCCTAACATCTCAGGCACCTTTGCTTTTTGGCCCACTCTGCACCTCATCAGACCTGCACCCAAATTGCTTTTTCAGTTAAAACTAAAAGCCAAACGAAGATCTCACAACTTGATATTCGGTTCATCTACACCAAATCAACACAATGTTTTTGTGGAACACTTATTATACTAATTGCTGGACCAGGACCTTTTTTTTTGTGGTCACGCACCACATTAGTATTCCCATGTAATAAGACAGACAACAAGAAATGACCCTTAAGCAGCAGTGTTTGGTGCAATACACAGAGACCAAGAGCAGATGCAAGAAATACAGAGGATTATCTCCAAATTTAAGTCCACCTGTGGCTACTGCTTAGCTTCTTAAGAGCTACAGGTGTAAAACAATCCAAACAGATCAAGTGATATTATTGCTTTCTAAAATCACACACTGATACTTTAGGGCAATAACACTTTCTTGAGCAAATAAACATCCCTTGGCTTTTCATGGCAAAGCTCTATAGTAAAGGAGGGAGTGGAAGGTTTGAGGGCTGCTAAGTTTCCAAAGTAGTTTTGCAAGACTACGATATATATAAATTGACTGCTACAATCAGTAATAGCCAAGCTTAAATTTCACTGTGATAAAAATCTTGCTTAGCTCATACTGCAATGTGAAAGCTATACCGCTGCCCATCGCTCCCTATTTAGCTATATGGAGCAATGAACTCTCAATTACTTTTAATTAAAACAGCAGGACTGTAATTTGTCTGTACGCCTTATGTGTGGCACTATGTTACAACTACCATACCCGAATGGATTGTTTGTTTTTGGTTTTTTTTTTTTTTTTTTACATAAATACAGATCTCAGTAAAGTTCAAAAGTGTGATGATCACATCTTTATCTTTTCATCTTTTTCAATGTCTCTTTGCAAATTCTTAGCAGGACAGAACAGCTGAGTGTTTGCACCTGCACTTTGGGAGGTAACAGTAATTACAGCACAGTGTGGAAAAGTGTGGCCATTAGTGCTTACCACATTGTTAAGATTATAGCATAAAGTGATACCAAACCATCTTTAGAGTCAATCTTGGTGCACAAGGCACTAAGTTTTTCTTTTGATCACTACGAGTAAGTTTTTGTGTATTTGTAAAAGCCCTATTATACACGTCTATTTGCAGTTTAAAATTACTCTTGTTTATGACATATACAGCACTAAAAACTACATCCTCAATTGGTAACACATTGTTTTAGTGAAAGAAGAACGAACTTACCTGTTAGAAAAAAAATACTTGACAAACACCACTGACAAAACTACTTCTGCCCTGCCAGCTACTGCAGTTTCCACCAGCATCCATCCCTCTAACTACAGTTTCCTCACAAAGCCAGTAGCCGAAAGTTACAGAAGACTAACATCACTCTGTCTTGCTTTGTACCACCTACAGTTTTACGATTCACATTTTCAGTATAATATTCACATCCTTAGACTATCCAAGAACTCAAGAGACCTGCAGCATGAAGCCTCACTCTAGTTTTATAGGTGAAAATGAGATGTATCGTCCCCAGTATCATGTCTCCGATTCTGAACGGCCCTTGGACAACATGTAAGTAGAGAAAATGTATTACTGCAAGTAGGGGTAGAAAACTGCTTAGAAATCTAATTAAAGAGAAATTTTAGACTACTACTTAGAAAGCATTTTACTGTCTGTAGAAGCTGAAAACTGCTGTTTTCCTTAACAAAAGGGGAAAAGCCTTCAAATCAAGAGCGTATTCTCAATCATAACAACAATTAACATCGTGAACGCTGCCCAATTTAAAATGAAGAAAGAGTTAAGTGTAATCTGCAAACCAAGGACTGATATCAGCAAACTTAGGGCAGAACTGCCTTCTATCACTAGTTCAACAAGAGAGGCCAAACCTAGGAAACCAATTATTTGAGGTGTTCATATTTCACTATCAAGAGATGCTCACAACATCTGAAAACACAGTGTAGGTGTCTAAATATCAAGATCACTGCTCGATTATAAAAACCCAAAGAGTTTTAAAAATAATACATAGTTGTGTATTTGGCAAATGTTTCAAGGACAGATGGATTAGGGATAGGTAAAAGATGAGCAGCCCTTTCAAAGCTTCTCCTTCAAATTATCCCATATATTGGGAGAATAAAGAAACATGAGTTTGAAATATTCCATCATCTTATTCCTTGGGTGCACACACAGGTGCAGGAGTCCACAGTATGGATTCTTCTCCCCAGTGGCAAGCACCAAAATAATTACGTAGGATAAACAGCCAAAGTGACAACTATATAACAAATAAGCGGAGGTGCACTGCTCTCGTTGCACCGATAACATGCTTAAAGCCAGTGTCCTAAACTTCTGTTAGCCAGTGCTCACCATGCCTATGGGTGCTTGAACTGCAGCATCAGTGAAGAGTTTGTTACTGGCTAGGAAGACCGTCAAAACAGAATTGAGCTATAGCTCCAGCATCTTTACAGAGTTTAGCTACTTTTGATTGAGCCCCTGAGGTCCCCTGGCTCACATCACCCCTTCTGGCTCCCAGAAGACTAGGAATGCAGATTATTTACCTGCTTGGTGCAGAGGTTGAAATCAGAGATACCTTCTGAGAATTGTTTTAGCTGTACATTTTTTTTTTTGAGAGGTACTAAGAAGTAACCTACAATTTTGAAAAAGCGTGGTCGGTATCTCGGCACCTTCACACACACATTACCCTCGGTTTGCTGTTTCACAGGACAGAGCTTACACATCAAAACTGAACAACTTGATTTATTTAAAATTCACCTCAAAATGCATTGTGTTTAGTTTGGTTTTTTTTAAATGAACATTCAAAGCATCAAAAAATTACTAATTTAAAAATGAACCTTTGTTAATAAGATAATTTACATACCATAGGTTGTGGCTGTGAGGGGAGTGAAACAACCAATGGTTGATTAGGCACAGTACTAAGGCCAACATGCCAGAAAACAACACAGCTCTACGCTCAACTTTTAAATGATCTGGACAAAATAACACAATTGGGCAGGAAAATAAAACCAACCGCTTATGTGAGGGTGTTCATGTTAAAAAAAAAAAGTGTTAGTAAGTTTTCTATCTAGACCTAACTCATTCATGTATTTAAAGAACTCTATCTTCTTCCAAATAACAAACAGTATTTCTAAACCAAGGCAGATTATTATTTGGAACTGACATAGTAAAATAAAGGATCACAGTATACAGAGCTTAAAATCCTGTACCAGGGAAGAGCAACAAGTGGTTTACAAGGGGATCATTTAAGTATATTATCTAATTTTTAAAAACAGAGATATAAAATATCAGTTGCATAGGGATTTAAATATAAGGCCAAGCAGGAGATTAAAGTAAAATAGAGATTGTAAAAAGGGCACTATGGTGTCAAAACATAGTATTTCCATTTGAATTAATGTCTAATTCAAAAATCACAGTATTTTGCTAGTACTACAAACACTGAATGTCAAACTGTCCCATTAATCTTGAACTGAAAATTGACATTAGAACTTCTAAATAGTACAAAACTAAAGCTCATTGTCTAAACCTGATCAGTGTATTAGCACAATAGTGCTTTGGTACGTACCTGATTTATATACTCTACCTTCTGTAAATAATATAAAGGTTATTTCTTGTTAATAAGTGTGAGATCACAATATTACTGCATGCCATCAGTGGTTTGCAGGCTTACTTGATATTTAATTATTCAGTCTTTAAAAGTGTAAGATCCCACCCTGCAGAATCTTCACCTATTGAACACAGAACACTGCCATTAATAAAATACAATAGAAGTTCCACCACTAACAACTAACACATAAGCCAGGATTGTAGGTCTAAACCCAGTATAGCTCATTATTATTAACTCACAGCAATTTTTGTTAGGAAGGTAACCTGCAGACTTCCAAATAATCTTGCGTGTATTAAATATAAACAAGGATGTAACTAATGGTCGTCTCTTGGCATTTCAAGTAGATTATTCAATTATGAAAGTGTTTCTGCAAAATCAATTTTAAGTTGTTAAAATGAAGTTCAAATATTAATTTCTGTATCTACATGTAGCTTAATTCACCTAAAATTTTAAGGAATAGTAGTGTAAGGAAAAATTAAAAAAAAATTCTCCAGATGAATTAGGCGTTATGGTACACTAACTGGGAATACCTGAACCAACATTGTAACTGAAAAAGTGCATAAACATAGTAATACTACAAAATGTGTTAACTACAGAACAAAAGGTTTTCTGAAAGCTGAGCGATACTATTTTACATGTTATGTACAGGTTGCAATTTTTCCAGAGACCACAGAGCCAATTTATGATCTTAAAATTCCTTAGATATATTTGAAGTGTCCTTTGACTTCCATCCTATTCGGTCAAGAACCTATTCACACACCGGTGAATCAGGTACTGGTACAGTCGAACAACACAGCCATTGTGGTTCTGTAATTCTTCAAAATTAACTCCTTTCTGTTCTTTGAAGAAAAAGCAGTATTTTCATTTCACGCTTTTTGTAGGTGTTTCAGATTCTGTAGACTGCCTCCCATCAGTCCATGCCTCGCGCGTGCTCTTCAGTGCTAGTGTTTTCTGCTGGTCAACCACAACATAATCAACTCTCTCATCTGCCACACTGCTGCCTGAACCACTGCTCTTCTTCTGGGAAAAGCAAGAATGAAAAAACATATGTTAAAATAAATTAACAACAAAAAGTAAGTAGATGTCCCAAATAGATACAGAACAAGCACGGGTTGCTCTGAAAGGTCCAACACAGGCTCTCTGATTGACTACTTGACAAACGAGTTTGGGTGATCTTGCTGGAGGCTCCCCCCCTGTTCCCAGCAACTACTTGTGAAGAAATTTTTAACTCCTGACAGCAGAAATGCAAGAGCTGAAGATTTGCTTACCTTACGAGGTGGGGTAGATTTTCCCGAATCTAGGTCCAGATCTAAATATTCTACTTGTTTATCTCCTTTAGGTTTTACCATAGGGCTGCTTCCTCCATCAAGACTGTTGCTTCCAAACAAGTTCTGTAATTATAATATAAATAACTTCAGCTACAAACATACATGCTAGTGGTTCACATTATCAAATATACTTATTATAAGCTGCTGAAATATTAAAGGTTAAAGAACTGACTGAGATCTCTTGCAATCAGTAAAACCATACAAATTTTATTGACACTGTATAACAAGGGGATATATTTTAACTTGAAACTGGGACAGATTCAAAAGCCAATGGGAGGAAAAACACCCCAAACCAACCCCCAAGATTTAAGGTTGCCACCAAACCAATCTGTGCCTTCCACCTAACGTCCCTTTCATATCATGAGATAAAAATTGAGTGGGGTTTGTTCTTTTTAAATGAAGTTATGTTGCATCTCAAATTTACCATTACTTACTTACAAACTTTTTTATTTCCTTAAATTGCTTTTAAATACCTTACAAGAATTTCAGCCTTAGAATACTGGCAAAGCTTCAAATGAGCCTTTTACATCTCTTTCAAAAGCCATCATGATTAAGCTGAAAGTCAAAGGTATTTTCAACTGATAAGACCAAAAGATTAAAACTTTGGGAAATTTGTGTAGAGCTGCCTGAACTGAAGTTGCATTGTATATACCTAAATTTCAGTTAGCCCAGACTTGTACAACCTCACCTCCTCTGTCCTCTCCCAGCCTGATCCCTCCCTCTTAACAGGTGTTATAGGAACAGTACAATAGAAGGACTCTTCTCTAAAAGATAAAGAAAAAAAAGGAAGACAGAGGGCAGCAGTCAGCAAAAAATGAAGAGGAAGGCAGAAGGAAAGACAGAAGGGTAAGGCTGACAGCAACTTGAAAGAAAAAGCAGAATATTGCAGATTTTATTAAATAAAGCAGAAGTACAACATGTCCAAACAGGATGCTTCAAAGCTGATGACGGAAAAAGATGAAAACATATGGACTCCTTTCTAAGATGCAGTTGGAACAAGTAAAAATTTCCAAAGCATGTATGTAATTGGCACATTTTAAAGCAAAGGCCTTGACATATCTAAAAACGTCCAGGTTCTCTAGGAAATAAAATGTTTTATGGGTTAAAGGTTGATGGGCTGAGCTTTTTAAATTGAAGTTATCCATTATACCTGTATCATCCAACTCATTTAATATTAAGTGGTGACAAACACAAACAACTGAGACAAAGTTCATTTTTGTTGCCCAAGTTCTCTAAACAACTTTCTGCATATTTAACATACAAAAAACAGGTTCTGTATCAAAATTTCCAGCACAAATAAAAAGATATTACTCTTCAAGCAGAAAATAATCTGTTATTTAAAGCAAACTAGACAGGCAGAACATATGCATTAGAAAACAAAAACTTTAAATATACATAAATGAAAAAGAAAGAAAATCTGTAGAACAACCTTAAAGAATGAACGGTGCAAGGAAGCAGAAGATATTAAAGACAGGCTGCCTGAGCTGTGATATTAAACAGATGATCTTGGCACTGAAGTTAAACCCCTGAAACAGCACTGTAAAAATGAATGGAAATCCCCAATGTGAATTGGGACTCTGCTGCAGGCAGAGCTGTAAGGACAGGCGATTCCAAACCTTTGTGTAAACCGGGACATTTCTGGCATCCGTAAAGTGGGACCTTACCAATTACTTACCAATGCCTCTTGCAAGAGAAGGGCTGAGTTTTAACATCACCAGCTCCCCACTGCACTGCCAACAGGTCAGACATGGTACAAAACACAAGCCAGGATGCTCTGCAGGCTCATGAGCTTGCACCAAGTCCGAGCTACTGCAGAGAAGTCAGCAGGAGGGGGCTGGCGCAGGGGGACCTACGAGGCGGTACCCAGGGGCAGCAATGGTGAGCTGGAGGGGAGGGAGACTGGAGGAGACTGGGGAGGGTATCCAGAGCAGCAGGGGCTGGAGAAGCAAGCAGCACTGCAAGAGGAGAGTCTGGGGTGTAGTGAAATGGACTAGCACATGCCATATAAGGAGGCAGACAAACAGAACAAAAAAAGGTGCTAGACAAGCCCTTCCCAAAGAAGGTCTTTCATAATGCTTTAAAGATGAAACATGCGGCTGTATTCCCTGCTAAGAACTCAAGCAGTAAAGATGTGGTGAATGCACTGAACTACACTGAACAAAAGCTGGGCTAAAGATACAGGTTCTCCTCCAGTGCCTTAGGGGTATCCTGGACTACATTTCAGTTTAGGCCTAGGTCTGCTGATACTCGTTTACTTTAAAATACTATTATTGGTACTTTTTCTCATACCAACCTCCCCAACAAAAACCACAGCACACATCATTAACTTTTCCTAACCAGCATTTGACTTACTGCACTGCAAGCTAAATATCTGAAACTTTATTATCTGAGAAAATTCTCCCTCAAAGGGGATAAAAATATAGACCTTCAGTACACAAAGATGCCTTCTATCCTCTCTTTTGAAAGAAGCCTGATGAAAGGACACATAGCTCAGTTGTTATAGAACATAAAAAACAAATATCAATCCTCCTTTTTTTCCCCTGTTCCTTCCACATTTCTTGGAAGATGTCCTTTTAATAAAGGTTTTTAAGCTTGTCTCAGAGGTCCTAGGAGAGCTTATTTCCCTTGATGTTGTAATACTGAACTGGTGCGTAGCCCAGGACTAGCAATTACAGACAAGAGGAGACAGTTTCTAGGGAGGAGGGGGGAAAAAAACGCAGTCATGTATTGAACTGTTTTGTACAATAGATATGTATACTAACCATTCTTTTTATATATGATTACGCTCTTAACTTCCTCAGTAAAATCTTACCAAAATCAGTTTTTCTACAGAGATTTTTTAACTATTATTTTGATTTAGAAGTATAAAGGGAGATGATGTTGAGCAGAAGGATTTGTGTTTGCATGATTTAAAAGTAAGGACTGCACAGGAAGAGAGTAGTTAAGACGTAGATTTTACATACTGGGTCTTCAGTGGACTGATTTGGATTCATGGGTACATAATTCTCTTCACTGTCGTGCGAGTCACTGCTGGAAGTTGTGCTATGAACTGAATCCGGTCTGGGAGACATGGGAAACCTGGAGGAGCTAATTACCAGGAATTATTTTACAAACAATACATCTCGAATATCTTAAAGCTCCTGGTAAACAACAAAAATAAGCATATTAGAGCTGAAATTTTAATTCAAGTTTACTAGAGCGTCACATTTTCCGGTTATACACAGTCCTTTATATTTAATACTACAAATAAAAATTCATATGGACACACAGTTTGTTTCAATGCACACGTGCATACATACGCACACACACACTTCCAAAGGAAACCTCAATTTGTATTACACAGGCTAAAAATATAATACAGATGTACACAAGTTTATTAACACTCTAGTCAATTAAAACAATTAATCTGAATGAGGAAAAGCTGATAAACTTACTCTCGTGCAAAGCTTCTGGTGATAGGAGATCTAACCGGGGCTTGTAGTTCTTCCCATTCAGGCAGAGGTTTTATTTCTAGTGGAGCTGGCTTTGCTATATAAGAAACAGACAATCTTAAAGCACAGAACATTCCTACACAAACTTAAATTTAATAGCTTTCTAAAGCCTAAATACCAAAAAAAATAATATTTTTTTACCCAGAAAACACTAGTTAGGAAAAGACGACACAGTTCAGTTCTCAGAATACCATGATATATCAACTTATATTTTAAACTTTCCAGGTACTGAAAAGCAACAGCAATTAGAAAAAAAAACCCACAATATAGGATTTTTTTCAATATATACTTGTACATAGCAATTCTATTTTGAAAAGAGACTCTGAAAATGGCAGCATCGCATTCTGTGTTTCCTCTGCCACAATGACTTGTTGAACTGACAAGCCCAGGATAAGGCTGATGGACTGTTTCAGCTTCAGCTGCCAGCAGAGCCAACTCTCCTGGCTCACAGCCAATTATTATTATGCAAACTCTGCCCTCATTGCACACACGTGCCCTTACTGATTAGGTTTCACAGTTCAAAGTGTGGGCAGAATCTGCAGTTAAGAGTAAGTTTGCAAAACTGAGAGATGAGCCAACACAGAGCTTCAGTTCCAAGAGGTGTTTGGCTTCTTCCGCGCTTACAGACTGCCCAGCGCAGTCACGGCGTTTGTGCGATTAATGACAACTAACATTGTTCTAGAAAAGTTGCCATTTTAAAATTCCATTTTCAGAACAGAACCACAAATAAGAGTATTAATGAGAAACACTTTATCCCTCTCTCCAGCTTGTATGTCTCACCCCTCCTAAAGGTTAGGGGGGAAAAAAAACTACTATAGGATTTGGGGGGGGGGAGTCACATACAGTCAAACTGCTGTCACAGTTTGAATCTCAACTTCATCCTCCCTAAAGCTGTTTTTAGAAAATAAAATGCAATATCATTGTAACAACACCCCTTCCCATCTCCCCCCATCAGCTGGCTGCATATTAGCAGATTTACTGAGATCAAGTATCAGGCACTGCACTAGTGGAGCACTGTGGAGTAAGAGCTGTCAGAAGTGACCACACGAGGAACGGACAGAAGTCAGTTACTTCATCGGTGTGGTTGTCTCACAAGGAAAAAGCAGAACTGTACTCATTGTACTTTCGTTACACTGCCTCTTCAGATGGAGTTTACTGAAAAGTCTGATGTCTTACATATTGAACGTTAAGGCCTCACAATTCAAATTTTCTGGATAGGTATCAGCCTTTAGTATCCCAAACAGTTTTCTCCTTTTCTCTGTTAAGAGCTCATGATTACGCAACTCTGAGCACATCAAGCCTACTCCAGCAACTCTGCCACTTGAACTCACTTGTACAAAGCTGTCGCCACAGCCTCCAAAGAGGAACTACAACTCTGCCTCAAGATGTAAGGTACCATAGGAGATGGGGTGGCAGAACCAAACCTGACACAGGCAAGATGATACTAACAAATGAGCAACACAAAAATGATCCGCTTATAATCGGTGGGCAAGGCACCGCTCCCTCAGGAACAGAAGAAGGGCTTTGTCCAAAGCCCACCAAGAACAGCAGGATATTTAATCCAGTTGCAATGGGCTTTAGCCACCAAAGGTCATCATCAGCGACACTTCTGAGAGATTTTTAACATTATTTGTAGTTTCCTCTACTTCTTGTGACTGTATAAGGCACCAACTCAGCACCTGCAACAAAGCCCATCAGACTAATTGCAAGGCTCATTAAGATGCATAAATAAACCTCTGTACTAGTAAATGGTCAGAGGATCAATATTTTGCTTATTTTCAGCATTTAGCTAACAGCAGGAGACCCAAGTTAACTGTGATTTCAGGTTATTGCCTAACACAAGTTATTTCAAGCAACTTACAGATAAGTCATATGTATTTGCTTCTAAATAAACAGACAACAGTAAATCCAAAATATCAACAGATAAAACTTAAGAAATCAGAATGCCCATGTTAGTGTTATGAAAATGTTTCTACCTGCTGTTCAAGACAGACAGACATTAATTCCTTTTACAGAAAACTTTTTGCTTGGCAAGGAAAATGCATCCATGATCTTGGATTGCAATAGAAGTAAAAAGACCATACAAGAGTTAAAGTTATTCTAGAATAACAGTTTTCTTAATTTTTTGTTTTATTTTTATAAGGCTCCATATACATACAGTGCTAAAGTACATACCCTTTCTTCTTGTAGTAAAGTCACCTATGGTTTGTGAATCAGTTCGCTCTAAACCATGTGGTTTAGGTCTTAAAATTTTAGGACTTTGACCTAATTGGCAAAAAGAAGACTTTCTTAATAATGTTCTATTTGTAACTGGAAAATGGAATTTTGTAAATAAACAGCACAACCCCCTGCAGAAAGGTTAATGCCACAAGCATAAGCAAGCTGCTGAGAGAGAGTTTCACAGTCTAGCTAGGTCTCACAGTAAGGGCTTAAGCCTCAAACCAGGAACAAAGAAAACACCACATGCAAGTCATTCGTCAGAGGCAAGCGTTAAAGGCGTACAAAAAGGCTAAAAAGTGCATCAACAAATATTGTAACTGATCATTACTGTATCTGTTTTCAAGCTGCATTACATTAAAAAAATCCATATTTGAGGAATATCTAGCATGATAGGAGAACAGTCATGTTTCAGATGCAATTGGAGGTACCCTCAAAGAAATCAAATCTTTAGTCACAATATTACTTTGGAAACAATGATACGCTTGGGAGGTCTCCTATCCACCATGCATGTTCCACTTGAGAAACCCCAAGAATCCTCTTCCACACTGTATTTGTTAACCTTGCTCCCCAGAAGTCTCTATCAGTCCGTACCAAACATGCCTCTGACCTTGCAGAAGCAGGGTGACTTTCTTCCCATGCTCCCAGCCTGCACCCCACCAGGGCACAACCCAACTTCCACCACAAATGTCATAAAATTACATTCTCTAAGCCTTTTTTTCAGTTGTATATACCTATATACAAGCGCAGCAGATCCACTAATCGTTCCCCAATATTTTATGTTATCATACCATCATGGTTCTAGCGTAACATTCCCCTAGCTTATGCTATCACCCAACATACACTTTAGACTTGAACTTTTGAATCTGGTAATTTTTTTTTTATAAACTAAGGAAACATATTAGTCAATAAGCTCCCTACAGGCAGTAATATAACCCCTCTTCCAGCAAGGAAGTTCTGAGCCAATTTGACCAAACTCTGAAAGCATTTCAGGTCACATTGCCTATTTTAAATACAATCAAACATGCATAATAACCCTAACCTTTCATGAAAGTCTATCAGACAAAGTGCTTAATATTCAAAAAGGCGAGTGTCTTCAAGTAGTACACCAAGAAGCCATATGAAAGGTAAAACTTTACAATAAACCAAATGAAAAGTTCAAGTCTGATTATATTAGAAAATGGCCCTACAGCACAAACTGGAAAAGGACTGGCAGGGACGCAGATGCGGGCGGGTACTACCAGCAACAAGTGAGAATGCTTTGTAAAAAAATAAACTTGGCAACAAACACCAGAAGTTTGCAAATCTGTACCCCAAGGGTTTTACATATGAAGTGCTCTATTACTGTTATCACTGACGTATTGGAAATAATCAAGTAACAACAAGAAAGGTAAACAGAAAGGTTTCGTACTGTATCTTAACTTCTACACAGCACTTCTGAGACACCATGCAGGTGAGATAAAATTTATTTATTCACTAGTAGGGCTGCATAGCAACTTCCTTAAAAAGAAAAAGACATGAAGTGATTTTCACACAGTTTTTTTTTTTTTCTAATTTCAAAATCACATGCTCCCTTAAATGGCTCAAAATGCTGATGAAAAGACCAAGCAGTTGGGCAATACTGACCAAAGACCCAGATTGTAAAGTAGTACACAAAGCATTTCTGTAAAGTCTGGAGCTAAGTCGAAAGCGTGACCCAACACGTTGGCATAGTTGATCCTGAGCTGATTCGATAGTCTTAAGTACCTTGCTTACAACTCCATGATAAAAGCTTGCCTAGATAAAAGACCAAGATCTTAAAATGGATTGAACAAACATAGAAGTTCAAATCCAAACACCTTTTATTTAGAACAATTTGATGCTGGATATAATTACCTAATCATATTATAAAACTATGGAACACAAAGTTAATCTGATTTAAAACAAATTTGGCCCAATACAACTCAATTCCAAATGCCAATCAATGCATTAAGATACAAGCACAGATCATAAGTATGATAAGTAATCCAGCCGAGGTAACAGGGCTAATGAAATTATTTAACCCATGTGTACTTCATAACTTTCCTGCTCTTAGAGCCAAACATCGGCTGAAGTGCCTGAAACCCATAATATAGAAGATAAGTGCAAGGAACTTAGGGCAATGACTCATTATTTCTACTTTTGTTAATGACGCTATGTGGTCTCGTGCAGCTAACCTTCCTGAACTATGATTATCCCCATTTGTAAAATGGGGATATTATGTAATTGCCTGCCTCATACTTAATTGAGCACTTATAAACCCTTCTGAGACTTTCAGCAGAGCTACATAAATACGTACAGGTCCCTCTAATATTTCTCTTCTGCATCAGACAAGAACATACAAAATGTTCCAGCATAAAATAAACTCCCTGAGCTTTCATCTCTTGCTGCTGAAAGACTGTTCAACCTAAATAAATTTGGTGGCAAAACAGCTTGCTGCTACCAGCCAGCCAGGATATGGAATTCCTCTCGTTTAATATGTCAGAGTGAATTAAAATGTTTGTGCAGGGTTGTTTTTTTTTCCCTCCGTACAAAACAAAACACAACAGGTCTAATCTTATACTGAGGATCTTATACTGTGTGACAGAAAAGACCAGAGACCGAACACCAGACAAAGGAAAAGAGGTGGGGGATCACAATCACAAAACTGAGTTAACTTATTTGTGCCTGTAGTACAGAATTCCCCCACCGCATTTTTGCCCATTTAAGAAGATGAAGTACCATGAGCTAGGGCACAGAGAACCCTTAAGAAAATCCCTTACTCCCTCAAATGACATATTTTTAATAAATCCATCACAAT